CGCACATCTTCCGGATGCAAACATGACAAGATTTGCAAGGCATTAAGTGCTGTCTCCAAAAGCAAAGCAAAGATGCCAGATCCTTTCTGCCATTGTGCTCTCCCACGATGCAGGATCTCCATGGAGCCAGCCAGGTTCTCAGCATAACTGGGTGGGATGTGCAGCCCAGGAAGGCAAAGACTAGACTGTGATCTCTACTGCACTCTTCCCTTGGCTTGGGCTGACGCAAATATTTGCTCAATTTGCTAAGTGGATGGGTACTTTTCAGAACGTCACCATTTCATTCAAACCTGGAATAGTTTGGTTACAAAAATATCTGCACTTTTAAGTTCAATATAAGATGTTTCATTATTATTTTCTATTAAAAATTATTTTAATATATTTATATTTTAATATATAATTAAAAAATATTTTAATAATAGAAAATTATTAAAATAGAAATTTTCTATAAATTTCTATTAAAATTTAAAAAAAACAAAGATGATCATATCCCAAACCTTGGAAATTACAAATTAAATTTTCTTTTTCTTAAAAGAAATCTGAAAAATGCAGAGTATATAAATTTTAATGAATAAATGTTCTTTGTGGATTTTTTGACACAAAGTAAAGTTTTTTGAAATTAGACTGCTGACCTCCTAATGATATCCAGCAGGCTTTCTCCTTTGCAGATATTAGACATTTTATAAAAGTGGGCTATTTCATATCTGCTATTAGATCTCTTTTTTAATTTTTGGTTTGTTTTTTGGTTTTTCGAGACAGGGTTTTTCTGTGTAACAGCCCTGGTTGTCCTGGAACTCGCTTTGTAGACCAGGCTGGCCTTGAACTCACAGAGGTCTCCCTGCCTCTGCCTGCTGAGTGCTGGGATTAAGGGCATGCTCACCATTACCGCCCAACTGCTCGAGATTAATGCAATTCGTGGATAAAGCCCGTGTCAAGTGATTCTATAAAGCCCTACTACCCGTCCAGAGCACTTAAACCCTGCACGTTTGTTGCTGTATTCTCTCACAGTAGAGGTGACTCACAAGCCAGGTTGTCTGGGTTCTAATCCCACCTCTGCTATTCAGATATCAGGCACATCTGTGAGATAGGAAGGGAAGAGTAGTCTCTACCTAGAGGGTTCTTGTAAGGAAGGGTTCGTGAAACTGACATATTTACAAGAGCGTTAGGCACACTCTGAGCGCTATGGCAGTATTAATCATCGTTAGTGTTTTCGCAAGCCTAGTCTCGCAAACATACCAATTGCTTGATACATAGCAAGTACCTAGTAGCAGCCATTAAATAAAAAAAAAAAAAACAAAAACAAAAACAAAAAACTCCTCTACAGCCCCGCCTAGGGCTGATAGTACAGCTGTTGTATTTTGCGACTGAATCCAACAGAACCACCGTGACACTTTCTTGCCTGTGATAGTCTTGTGTTTGCTGCTAACAGGCTCAGCTTCAAAATGGAGACACGTCCTAACTGCCTTTGCTCTCATGTTGGCTGCTGACAGAAACTCGCTGGTAGCCTGGCAGAACCTGAGAAGGTGTCTTCCGGACTTGGGGACTCTACAATCTTCAGTGTTGTGTGCTATGGGAAGGAGGGAAAGAATTATCCCAGCAAACACGTCAGCCCCTTGAAAGGCAGCCCTGGAGGCTGCGTCAAAGGGAAATAACACGGCTTTTCTTAGCAGGTAACTTGAGGATTAGATAGGTGCCCCTGGTTGTCTCTTAACTTGGACAGATGGTCTCTATTGCTCATATCTCTGATCTTCACAACGAGAGAGCGCACGTGAGAAGATACATTAACACAAGGGTCAAGAAAGCTCATAATTATTGAGGAGGGACATGGTTTTATTTGAAAATAAAATAGAAAGAAACACATCACGACATACTCCCCTGCCTCTCTGTTTTCTCTCTAAAGTATATTATCTTCAGCAGGCCGCTGACTTTTTCTGCTCAGGATGGGTAGATATAGGTCTGGATGGATGGATGGGACTGAAGGAAGATGAATGAGGGTAGGAGGAGCGAATAGAAACTGAGTGGCAGGTGGACACTTCTCAGGCCTGATGATTCTCAGAAACCATTTACCCGGCAGCTCTAAATCACAGTCAAGAGCTAGGTGCTGCTTCAGTAATTCAGGTGCCACAGCCGGGAGAGGCCACAGCCAGGAGAGGTAAATATGCCTTGTATGGCCATGCGGCCATGCGTATGGCGAACTTCAAGGAGTCTTTATTCTAAGGGTCCAGAGATGAGCTGCGTAGCCTTGGAGTCATGTGAAATCATAAGATTTTATAGAAAGGGAGTTCATGTATCTCATTAAATTCTAAAAAAATATTTGTGATATAAATAATTTTAGAGCCAGGTGCCAGATTTCAAGAGAAGGGGAAAATAAAAGGTTACTGTGTAAAAACTCAACAACAAAGGCAAAAAATAGAGAGAGAAAGATAGTTTAGAACTCCTCAATAAAGAACGAGGTCCAGCCCTCTGCCTTCAGAACAGTGGTGGAGGAGAAGGGGCATACATGAGAACAATTTTCTCAGACCCACCAAAGCCTGGAAACCGGAGACTTCAGAGGTCACTAAATAGGGTACAGTGACATGCTGAGACCCCAAGTACCCATCTCCCCTCTGCATAGTTGAGGGTCTACTCTTACCCCAACCTGTTCAGGAACCAGAGTGTTTGCTTGAGAAGAAGAAAGAGGAGAAGGAAGAGGAGGAGGAGGAGGAGGAGAAAGCAGAAGCAGAAGAAGAAGAAGAAGAAGAAGAAGAAGAAGAAGAAGAAGTTCTTTCCAAAAGCAGCTTTACAAATTAGACAATAAAGTATAAAGTAGTTAGTCTTTGAGAATTCTGAGAGAAATTACTTCCCCTCCCCCCAGAACTGTTAGGCAAACCAACAGTGAGTGTGAAAATAGAATAAGGTCCCCCGTCCCCATCCCAGCCATGCAGAACCTAGAGCAACTGGCTCCCCAAGAAATGGACACACTTCTTTATGAAGACTGACAGATGTGCTCCTGCAAAATGAGGCAGAAATCGAGAAAAGGCATAGGATACAAGCAAAAGAGATCATCCCCAGAATGGGAAAGCAGAAGCCCCAAGAGGGAACAAGCCAGACCCGACTACCTCCAGGACACAAAAGATCGTGCAAGAAGTGTGAGAGGTTTGCTTCTCTTCAAAATTACTTAATAGACATTTAATAAAGTCATGGAGGATATGAAAAGGCACAGCTGTTCCAAAGAGATCTGAACTCCAGGAAATGAAAGGATTTAAGAAAAGAATCTTCATGTATTATTCGGCCTGGCGGTGGGAAGTTAGGATTTAGATGGTGATCATGAGGAAAGCGCTGAGCATGGGTTACGTTGGGAGTGGAGGGGAAATGTGGGGACCATCACCGCTACACCATCAATGTTTTAAGGCACACTTGGGATGGGATGTGGGTGTGCTCCCCTTTGCCCTGCTTTAGCTGTGAGTCCTTAGGCACAGCGTGGAGCCCTTCTGTGACTCAATTTCCCCATCTGTAACTGAACAATCATAGCTATTGCCTCATAAGACTGGTAAAAAAAAATATTAAGTAGGTTAAGCAGTCAAAAACTTCTAGGGGAATTTATAGTAACATAGGAAAGACTGTGTAGGTATTTGGTGAGTGATCAAGTACTAAACCGTATGGACATTGTGTGGCAATACGGTAAAAATGTCAGCAACTTAGCTAAACAAATGAATTTGGTTGCCTTTAGGAATCAGGAAACATGAACAACGAGAGTTTTGGCTTTAGGTTTCTGAGCGTGGTTTTAGAAAACGATTACAGGCAATAAAATAAACAAAAACTAATATCCAACAAGTTTTAAAATGAAGGGTGTGCCAAGCTTTGGCAAGGACTGCTTCACGGCCCCCGTCAGTTTATTCCGGTTCCATTTGCTGCCTAAGTGATGTCCTATGTGCTTCCAAATCTTGCCGAGGAACCAAGGCTGTTTGGAGAAATAAAATTGTCAATACAGCAATCCATCACTCAGTTACGTCTGTGTTAAAACCAAAACCAATTAAAAGAACAAGGTTTTCATTGCCCTAAAAGTCTTGCAGGTATTAGCCGGTGATCCGAGATTAGTGGTGGAGAAACATACCTTGAACATACCAGCAGGCTCCCCTCCTCCCATCTTCTGATAAAGAATTTAATAAGTAATGGAAGCGGAGACTTCCACTGCGAGGGGGAGGGGCCGGCAAGGCCACGGATGGAGAGGACACACAGATCTTTCTCCCAAAGGTGCATTTCCTCCTCCAGACTAATGAGAGGGCCAGCTGGACCCAGAGCGCCAGTGTGGTTCTCGTGCCCGTAATGATATCCAACTGCGTCCAGGAGGAATTACGCCCCAGCCACGTACTTCACACGGCTACTGGGATCAGAAACAAAGGCCTCAAAATCGTATACTCTTCCCGTGATGCTCTGGCCTGATTGTCTAGTCTGCTGCCAAATCTCAGTTTCTAGGATTTCCCCGTGTGCGTTTCAGTCTGTCTGCCAGATCAGTATGGGTTCCGGGATTTATAAGATAATTCTAGACCATCATCATGCAGCGATTTGAGTACTTCTCCTCCATTTGCTATAAGGAAGGTTGTTTTTGTGTTTGCTGATTCTCATTTGAGGGGCATCCGGGGTCCAGAGCTTTTCGGTTTTGAAGGTCCCTTCATATCCCCCTATTTCCAAATACAACACTCATCATACTGTGTGCAGTGGGAAAACACATTTCACTCTGGGCCTTCCCCAAACTGTGGGTGTGGAGAACACAACCTCCTCTCTATAGAAGGAAAGGAAGCAGAGTGATCTCTGTCCCAATGCGACAGCAAGCGAATCCCTCCCTGTGGGGACCTCAGGCTAAGCAAGTGACCACTCAACACGCCGCCGTCGAAGAGGGTGACAGTTAATCATTTGCTAAAATGGTGTGGGCCTGAAACCAGCCGATTGCTGCTCAGCTGACTGAGTTTCCCCAGCCCCCTGCCCCTGGCACTGACTTGCCATTGTCCCCTTCTTCCCAGACTGCTGGGTTTCAAGAGATTCTGACCGAGGTGGAAATTTTGGCGGTGATTGTGGGATGCCTGTGTCATGACCTCGACCACAGGGGAACCAACAACGCCTTCCAAGCTAAGTAAGTGTTCTAATTGTTGTGATTTTAATGCATTTGCCTTTCTGTCCGGAGCCAAAGGTGACGAGCACTAAAGAGTAAAGCATTAATTTCTGGCATCGAAGGCCAAGGCCACGCGGGCTTGGGCATGCATGTCATGGGGCCCATCCATCTTTATAATTCCCTATTCTTCTTTTAATTGCAAATTTGCCCTTCACGTCATGCTTGTTGATTTGGTCTGCCTCTGCTGACCTCTGTCAGAGAGCACAGTTCAGGTTTTCAAAGTCCTATTCTCTTCCTCCCAGCCTGTTTGCCTCCGTGGCATGACAGGCCACTAGGATCTGCTCCTCTCCGGTCTGATTTTGAGGTGATTGGAATAAAAAGAGGCTCAGGAAGATTAATGAAGCAAAGAGTGTTCTGTTCTTCCTATTCCCATGGAAGACACGGAAAACAGACAAAGGACTCACATAAACATAGGGATGGGTAAGCGACTGTCCACCCTGCACCTAAGTCACACACATAGGCCAGTCTGCTCCCAAGTATGTTAAACTGGTCAAGAAAGTCACTGCTTGGTGGCTCACGTTGTGGCAAGAGCCACAGAACTTAGCGCATGTTAAATTCCAGGTGTCAGGACTCTCTCAATGAGGTCAAGTCTTAATGTTCTTTGAGGTTATCTGCTTAGGAGATGGTTAGAGGCCCTGGAGACACATTTTGGCTGGGAACAGGAGGAATAGCTTCTATAGAGGGGTGGGATTAGCTTTCAGGTGACAGACTTCAAAGTTCTCCAAACAGGTAGACCTCTGGCTGAAATTCTAACAACCCACCGCGTGTTTCAGCTTTCCTCCCCGCAACACCCCCTGAGCCGGACCTTGACGTCTTGATCTGGTCTAGCAAACTGCTTTGATCGTGTGCCCTCCTCTCTCTACATCTTTCATCCTCTAGCCCAGCACTTCAAGCGCCTCCCGTCGATAGCCAGTATCCAACAGTTCCTTGACCCTCTTAAACCTCTGTGACATCCGGGTCTGCAAAAAAAACCACAGCCTTGGTTCGGTCTACCGATTCAATTTCTAGCTACCCTGCCTAGACTTGTCCAAGCCCTGGGAGAAAATATCACAGTTGTGCGAGCTTGAGACACAGTAGATAGACATCGGTTCAACTCTGCTGTGCGCTCAGGACTCCGTGTCAATCTCTGCGCATGCGCCCCCAGCTCAGCCTGCACGGCTCCTAGCCGTTGTGCGCCGCCAGTGTTCTCTTTTCCCAAGCTCCACTGCCTCCCCACACCACGCTACGGATCACCTTGCCTCCTACTTCACCGAGAAAATTGAGGCCATCAATCGAGGATGCTCTCAATTTCCTCCCCTGCCACCTACACACTTATCTATCCCACCCCACCCTTTCCCCTTTCCCTCCTATCTCAGTGAAAACGCTGCCTTTCCCACGTCTGAGGCCAATCCCTCCGCCTCTGCTCGGGATCTTTCTCGCCTCGCTCCTCCAGGACCCTTTTCCATCCATCTCCCGCCTTTCTCCTGTATCTGTGTTTCCCTATTTGTGGGTACTCTGCATCTAATTAACATGAGTAATCCTGCCCATCTTGAAAATTCCACCTGCACCCCCACTTGTCCTTTTAGTGACGGTTCCGTTTCCTTCTTTCCTTCCCAGGCAAGTTTCTGTGTTGGTTGTCTTCATTGCCTCCAACCCTGCCTGCCACAGGGCTTTCGATCTCCTCTCCCTAGGAAAACCCGCCCTCAGTGGCCCCCTTTCGAAGCTGCTGTGCCCTTTTTCACGCCCTCCCTTCTTGGCCCTGTTTTCCATGGGTCATATTTTCTTACTTCCGCTTCTTAAACTTCTCTTCGTTTTTTTTTTCCACAAAAAAAAATCTTTATCTACCTATGTAGCCTTCCTCCTCAGTTGGCTTCAAGGCCTCTTTCCTTGTGTCCCCCATTCCTCTCCCGCTCTCGTGACTATTTGTGCCGAGCCTCCACCCATTCCTTCCTCAGCCCTGGCTGCGTTTCTCAGGGCCACGATTCACAATCGCTTGTCTCCAGATCCTCCCGCCAACTGCTGGAGGTCCCAGAGTTCTCTCGCTCTCAGTCTCCCCCTTCATCCGCGTCCCTCTTTCTCTGTCTCTATCCCCAGGAATGTGCAGGTTACTCAGCAGCCTCCATGGCATCTCAGCAAGGCCAACCCCTCCCATCCGTTCATCCCATACAGAAGAGCTGTGCTCTCAGACTGGCTAATTCTTTCTGGTGTCTAGTGTGCTATTTCTACTCCAGAGAACGCCCTTCTGCTCCTTTCCCCACAGCGCCTCTGAACCCAGCACTTCCAGGGTTCCACCCCATGCACACTCCCCTCATCACTGTTCCGTGCATTCAGAATACCCTGGAAAAGTCTTTCCAAAGTATCCACCGGCCTCCATTGTAATTGCTAACTTTCAGATGTACCCCTCTTCTTCTTTAAGAACGGAGACCCAGCAGTGCCAGGTATGTAACAGACACACAGGAAATGTTTGCTGAATTAATGAATGGTGACTGGTGGGTTGTATTTTAATATACCTCCTCAATGGAGTTTCTTGATCTTCTAATCAATGTAGCCTTTTACAGATGCGGATGGTGAAACCTATTAATGTTTATACCACATGCGTCTTTTGACAGTGTCTTATTTAAATTGAATGTCTTATTTTCCTAAGCTTCCTCTTCCCCATGCCAATGTAGACTGTCAGTTTATGCCCCCCTAGGCCCCTCTTCCCAGACCTTTATCGTAGTACCAATGATGCAGAAAGAAGAGCCAACCGGTTAGAATTGTGTGTGTAAACCAGGAGTGAAGCCCCTGTGTGTTCTTTTGAAGAGTGACATGCCCAGTGGCACGATGTCCCAGAATGCCATGACCCTCCCCAGCCAGTCTGTGCACCACACTGAACGGAGAAGCTCTTCTCCACATCAGCCCCTCGGCAGATTAGACCGAGAGCCCACCCCTAGCCAGAGCCGGACCAGTAAGACCTCGCTGTGTACGCCCATGACGTTGTAGCAGTTAGCTGTAGAGAGCTGAGCTGCAGCTCCTGTAGACTCGGGACTGCTGTCGAAAGAAGCTGTGATACCAAGTGGATAAGAGAAGCAAGAAGGCCAGAAAGGAGTGGAGGAGGAAGGTAGCAGGCAGAGAGAAGTCAAAAGGGGAATGCAGATGTAGAGAAAGTGGGAAACAAAATCAGGCATCACACCAGTCTCTCCCCATTGCTTTTCCTACTTCTGGGGCACTCCGCCCCTCAATCAAGACCTTTCCTGATGAAGCTCGTCGTTCTTCATTTTTGTTTCTTGCAAAAAACAGTCCCCAAGACAAGGAAAAGGATCATTTGTCTTTTCACTCTGCCAAGCCCTTGCCCTATCTTCTGTAGATAGTTTTGTCTCCGTTTCACAGCTTGTCCAAATTCATCCACCCAAATGCAGTATGGCAGCAATCGGAGTGAGCTCTCTGATTCCCAAACCATTCCTTACCTGCTGCACCAATGCAGTCAAAGACTTTGGGACATCTGTTTGGGGCTACTGACGTTGGGCTTTCAGCTTGTGAGCCATCTTGCCGGATAAGCTTTAGAAAACTAAAATATATCCTGACATCCAGCAACTCAAAATGTAGAGCATGTAGAACCGAACTGAATCTCTGCATTCAGTGTCTTAAACTTGCAAAAAATGGCAATGAACACCCTGAAATCTCAGGTCCTGGGCTGAACGACTTTCACTGATATAGGGTAAGTAATAAGTTGCTGACACCGAACTGCTTTGTGCCCTCCAGCTCCACTCTCAACTCTCTGTACTCCAAGACGGTATGGACCATTTTCTCAGACCAAGTCAGCTTGCATCCAGCTCCCCAGCTCGTAGATGCCCATCAGCGCTTCCACTACCCCGTGAGGTCACATTTGGATTTACACCACCTAGGGCTAGCTCGGCCTCAGTGAAGATTCCGTTTGACAGTGGATGTCAGAGCAACTTTTAACACAGCTGTTTAGTGAGTAGAGTAAAATTTCCCCAGTGAGGGTACCGTTGTTTGAAATCCCTAAGAAGAAGCCTGTAACCTGTTCTCCGCCTTCATTCTTCAACGAAGGAGTATTTTTTTGTGTTCAAGGCCTTGCACAAAGCATTCTGGGAAAAGTAGGAATTGCAGCAGACAATCCCTTTCCTTAAGCTCTGCATGCTCGAATCCCAGCTGTTCAGATGATTTGGTAACAGAGCTTACATGCTATGGTCATTATGTGGCAAAGCATAGGCTACCTTTTTTGTCATCTGTAGGCAATTAAAACACAAACAGGAGACTTTTAGCAAGGGACAAATTACTATATAAAATGCAAAATACCTCTACAATAAAAAAGCGTGACTTTAGAGCACCATTTGATTTATGCCCTTAGCCTTTCTGATAAGTGAGCCTTTGAATTTTCATATTTTATCCTTAATTTTTAAGTATTGGAGAGCATGCAGTGAATGATCAATAGGGAGAGAGGCCACCAATACCACCGCGCACTGAAATTACTCTCCTCTCTTCTCTCCAGGGACAGCATGGCCCACTCATCCCCCTCTCTATTACAGCTGCCCCCGATGATTAAATATCAGTACGGCACAGCTTTGTAGTATATTCTCCTAGGAGATTCCTTCCATTCATTTCTAGCATAATCTCTTACACTCATTTCTTGGGAATGAAAACCCATCTTGTCGCTTTCGGCCAGGTCCCAGAAGTGAAATACTGGGGCACATTAATCTGCCCTGACAGCCTAATCCCATTCCTCACCACCTCCCAGCAATTCCCAGCTTCCTAATTACCTTTCATAGTTTGCCTGTTTAAAGTTTCCTCGAAGCCCCGGCTGCAGGCCGCTGCTAGCTCTTTTTCTCAAAGAATATGCATATCCAGGCTGTGGGAAGGGCGCACTTTGGTGTGCACGGACTTTGGGTGTCTGCACGAAGCAATGAATGTCTGCAACAGAACTGCCCCTTTTACAGTTCCGTACATTTCTGTTCTGTGTAGCGAGAGTCTAAAAGTCAAAGGCGTCAGTATTTGGACTGAAGCAATAATGCACATCAGAAATTTTCACATTTATGAGTTACCATGTTTCCTCCCCCGCTTCCCAAGCACTCTGCATATGCACACGGACGCATATAAATATACATGATCATATTTCTGCAGCTACTGGGTATGTGCCCAAAGCCACTCATGACGGATATATTTAACATAGACAATCAAAATGAGACGCAGCATTAAAGTCAGTCTTATATGACTGATGGAAGGTTTCTTCATTTAAAAAGCGGGAGTATGTATCCATGCAGTGTTTTACATGAAAGACACGAGCTCTTCAGAGATGGCTTTATGGCCAGTTAAGGGTGCATAAGGTGCATATCGTGCCCCTCCCTGGAGAAGCTTAGTGCTTGTGTTTACATAGCAACGCCTACCATAAGAAGTTTGAGCTTTTAAAGCCAGCATTCCTCTGAGTTATTTGACATTGGAATCCTTTTTACTTCAGCTTGTCATATCTTTTGGCATTTCAAGTTAGTAATAGTCTATAGAATGTTTATTGAGAAAGTTTATCCCGACGGATGGGTTTATCTTCTGCCACTATATTTATTTTCTGTTTTGTGTAAAGTGGTGTTTGCTCAGGGTGTTCCTAGGACATCCACAGTATGTGAGATAAGAACATAAGAACACAGCAGAGTTCCTGGTGCGCCTTGGCCAGGAAAGAAGGCACCATGAGGTTTAGAAGTCTTAGAAGTATTGGTAGGAACCACACACAATAGTACAAGTCAGGGGTCCTTGTGGAACAGTATTTCTTCAGTGAATTTCCTGAGGTTAGTACTGGCTCCATTCTCCGATGCACACTAAAATGGCTCCTTACTTACAAGAAGAAGCTGAGTATTCTGGTACAGGACTGGACAGAGAAAGCATTCTACAGAAATCTGGTAGAGTGTGTGCTTCCTGAAGGTAGGCTCCACAGATTACATGTTTGTATTTCACGTTTCCGGGGCCTGACAAGATAACACTCATCGGTGCTTGTTGTCTACATTAGAGATACATTTTCATGCTCATTGAATGAATGAATGAATGAATGAATGAATTTCAGCGTCTTCCTGCACTGAAGCCACATTAGTATGGTTCAGTTTCAAAGTTTACACATTTTTTGTATCTAATGAATGTAAAACGGGATTACAGAAAGGCACAAATAGAGGATCTAATAATAAGACCCTGAGCACCCTGCTGGAGGCCAGCAGTTCTGAAGCCCAGTGAGCAGGGGAGGAAGGGCAGAGGAGAGCAAGCCTCAGTGAGCCTCCTATGGCGTCCTCTGCCCAAAGAAGGCACTAGCATCTTATCCATCATGAATGAAGGAAACACTAAGTGACTTGTAAGCATCTATAGCTCACCTCTCATGCGGTGAAAACCAACAGGATAAAGAGAGCTTAGACATCCCTCCTCTTCCCAGCCACTCTGTCCCCAGGACTCATACCCATGAGTGAAGAGTCCAGGAACAAGCCGGTTTACAGGAATGGAGGGGCTGGGAGCCTGGGGTTAACTGCTAGGCTAGCAGACTTCTAAATTGTGTTTTGGAAGCTCCTTTCATCGGCAGCCAACGGCCTTGTCAGAATAGAGGATCAAGTATCAGAAATGTGGGTTAGGCGTTTTATTCTCCCACTGCAGTGAGCAGCTTACAAATTGAGATTCAAACTCAGGCCTGATGCTGGCTGGCTCTGTGACCTTAGAAAACCTGGGAGTTTCTCTGAGCCTCTGTTTCTTTTGATTTAAAGTGAGAAAATAATACCTCTTTTGTAGTTGTTACCACAACTCGGTGGGGTTATACATCAAGGGGCAGTGTGACTCTCAGTGCGTGGTGGGCACTCGCGGATAGTGGCTGTTATTAGCAGGAATGTAATCATTATAAAACATATTACACACATATTTTTAAATATATGACATATATTTAAAATAAATATAATATGATACATATAAAATATAAATAAATACATGTATAAATTACATATATTATAAAATATGCTGACGCTGATATTACCGTCAGCCTCCTAGTTCAGCCATACCCTCTCCACACAGCACCACGAATGAGTTACTTTTAAGCACCCACTCCGTGTCAGGCACACAGAAGCTCAGCATCCAAGTCCAAGCCACGCTGTGTGTTTTTGCCATGGAAACGCCTTCTATGTAATGACAAAGGACGGCCGACCTTCAGTGTTAACCCACCAGTGAGACTAGCCTGACCTCTGCCCACTCACTAGATGACGTAGCGGACTTAGGCAGGACTTAAGGAGATAACACATACCCAACTAAAATCTAGTTCCCTCCTTCATCATCCTCTTCATTACAAGCTCTCTTCCACCTGACCTTCCTGCTACTCAGGATGCAGTAGCGCTGAGCCTCCCCAAGGATCACGGGTCCTCTGCACCCCAGAACTGACAGTGACCTCAGGTTGTCGGGAGCCAGGCAGCCTGGGATGGAAATCCTTCTTGTGTACGGGTGCCGGTGCCACCTTTCATTCTCTCACTGGCAGGATCAGCTCCAAGATGGCGATCTCTGTCATTTGCAAGTTAAAGCCAAACTCTCCTCAGGAACTCCCTACAGTAAGCCAGCAAAGAACACGGGGACCTGAATGGGTCCTCAGCAGAGGCCTAGAACGGCTGTTTGATTCCTTGGGTCTCTCTTGGCCCCTAACATGCTCAAACTCCAACTCCGAAGAAACAGCTGAGGTGAACTGTTGGAACCCTTTAAATGCCTCACTGGACTGGCCTTGTTGAGGGGTGGACTGTCCTACATACGTGAAATTTACGGATAACTCAAAGGAACCCCCACCCCAGGTATCAGTGAACACTGTGTTCATTTAAAATGGAAATGTCCATGTGCATTTTAATTATCTATTAATAATAAATATAGACTCCTATCTACTTCCTATCTGGCACTATGACAGGCACCTTCAAGCATTCCATTGTCCCCTCATAAACAACAGAAGATGCGGACAGTGCTGGCATGATTTAAGAGACAAAGAAACTGAGCCTTAAAATCAAGTAATAGCCTAAGGCTAGGTACGGAAGGAAGAGCTGTGACTTCAGATCCAAGGAGCTCTCTGATCTTCTATGCTAAGATGTGCCTTGTGGCTGAATTGACACTAACAGAGGGTTGTTAAAAACACATGCAGAGTAGATAACAAAGAGTGTGGAATATTCTCCAAGTCTTCTTGTGGAGAGTCAGGCATGTCTGATAGGAGAAAGTTCCTGTGTATATTTAGATCTATAAGGTTTAGTTCATGAAGCCTTATATGGATCACAGAGGCAAAGTTATACACACACATGCACATATACACACACATACATACATACATACACACACACATATACACACAGCCCTTCGTATCTGTACTGCCGCTGCCTGTTCTACTTTTTCTCAGAATCACATCTTGTCCCTCGTCAGTCTGTAAACTGCTTAAAGACAAGGACTGTGGCCTGTGAACTATTTATCATCCACGGCATCCAGCCTAACACGTAAAAAGGTCTTGAAAAGTTTGCTTAAGGGGCAAACGAAGTCCACAGCAATTACGGAGAAAGCATTTGCTCACGGTCTGCCACCAAAAGTGGTTAAGATGAGGGGTCCTGCCTACTTGGTCTTCTCTTTCAGGAGTGACTCTGCGCTGGCCCAGCTCTACGGGACATCGGCCACCTTAGAGCATCACCATTTTAACCACGCTGTGATGATCCTTCAGAGTGAGGTGAGGCCTGCTCCGCTTCTATCCTTGACAGAAGGCCAACTGCATGGTCCGCGCTCCCCGATGTGCCTGATGAAACTCACAGAAGTGGGAGCCCATGTTTACATTAAACTCAGACCCCGGTGCCTTGCGTGAACCTTTCCCATGCCAAAGACCTTGTTCCAGGTCTTCCCGAGCTGCTTGGAGGTTTTGCAGGTTTTGCAGGTGCAGGATCACTTACGGGGTACCAGGTGGAGGTTGCCTATTGCCAGAGCATCATCATCTTGTCTTTCTTGAAGGATGCAGTCTTGGTTTATGACAGAGTGATCCAACTTTCCATTCTGTGGAACCCAACACCATGCAAAGAGATGGTAAAAACAGGAAGAGCCAAGCTTTGATAGTGAAACTGAGGTGCTTATAAAAGACAAAAGAACTGAAGTTTTTGGTAGGACTGCATTTGAAAGCGAGAAATGGCTACTAACCCCAAGGCCGGGGCTAAAGCCATATGCCTTATTTTGCTTTCTGCAGCAACGCGGGACTCAAAAGGCATTGGAGTATCGACTTATCTCTCTCTGCAGAGAAAAACAGAAACCCACTGACTGACTCTGGCTGCAGCAGCTGAGTTTTTAACTTGCCAGGAAAAAAATCTGTTTAATTTTATGAAGGCATACAGACCTTTTTTTTTTTTTTTTTTTTTTTTTTTGGGCCAGGAAGGGATTGTCTGTCCCCTGTTATTTTTCAGCTCTCTGGCTATGCCATTAATTATTATTATTATCGTCATTAAAGCTCTGTTTCACTGGAATGGCATCATTAAATATGGAGAGGGTTTTTTTTTTTTTCTCCTCTAGACTATCTTGAGGAAACCTGTCTTTTGTAATATCACCAAAGCCTTCAGCCTCATAACAGAGACCCACCACTCCAGAGCCTGAATGTGGGCTCGGGCAGGGCAGCCTGCCAGAGGCGCTGTGTTTTCATTTAGGATAAAGCTCCTAAGTAAGGGCCTTGGGAACTGGTGGAGCCAACTTCCTGTCGTCTGTGGCTCTGGAATATGAAAGCCACATGTGAGCTGAGAGCCAGGAGGAGGCAGGGGTGGCAGGTGCTTTTGTTTAGCTTGTCTTTTCCCTGGTTGGAAAATGTGATGAGTCCCTACCTCTGACTCCAGAGAGCCACCTTCGTAGTGATGGGGATCATAAACAGCCTAGCGCCCTTAGGTCCGGGTCTTCTCACCGGGACACATTGGTCAGCCTCTGCTCCAGTTTCTTCCCAGTGACAATGACCAGTGAACACAGAAGTGGACAATGAGTCTCAGGCCCCACGTCCACTCCATTCTGCCACCAGGAAGGCATGTCATGCCTATCCCATGTTCTTATTTACACAGACACGCAGAGCTTAGAGGTCTTGAAGAAGCTAACCTCAAGCCTTTCTTTCTCTACCCCTGGATTTCCCATCCTGCTGTTCTTGCTGGTTTCCTACACCTAGGGCTGTTTCCCTAAAACCTAGTCTCTCACAGTATTTGTGAGAGACTCATTACCACTTAAGGGTCAAACCCTGAGGTGCTCTTCAAGGTTAATTTGCGTATTCAATGATGCCCTGGGGCAAACTAACTTTTATAAGTGAAAGCTGATTTGGCTGGCTTTGTATTCCCCAAGAACAGCACTATTTACCCTTAAAAGCAGTAAAAGGCGAGTCACAAAAAAACAGGACAAATTCAGGTGAGTGCCCTTGTCTGAAGGCAAGCTTCTACTCAGCCTTGCTCCGAAGGCTGCCTTGCTTTTCCCAAGTGAAGGTGCTGAATCCAGGTGACCATTTTTCCAAACATTGTAAACTACTTTTTCCCAGGCTCCAGAATGTTTGCTTGTAACTGTCCCATGAGAGGATGCCTGTACAGAATCCTGGTCCAGCCTTCCTCGAATTCTTTGTCCTCCTAATCACTGAATTAAAGGCCTAGAAGAGTTCATTTAAACTGACTATTAATATTGGACTTGGTCCCAGATGGAGCCAACACCCTGCAGTCAGGAGGGGAGGGCTCGCCTGAAGAAATAAATCAGCTCAGCGAAGCAAATTATTACCTGACGCTTGATTCAGATGAAATTGCTAATTGATATTCTGGTCCCCTGGATAAATTAATTTACCTCTCGTGGAAAATAGTTTCTTCTTGAAAAGTCGCTTGCCCCTTTCCTTCCCCACCAACCTTTGGCTCTCAGTTCTAGGTTCAAAGTGATCCAGTTCCCGGGTCCCATGCTTATGAGTTCATAGTTCATGCTAAGAAAAACAGACTAAAAGAAATCCTGTTTCAGCACGCGTGTGGAGTAAATGATGGTCGCACTGCTGAAGGGTTTCCACCTTGCTAACAGCAAGCCCTGGGGCTGCCGAGTGAGTCTTCTAGAAGAAACAAGAATGTTCTCTGGTAGCATGGAGGTGAAGTTGTATTGCAGTTTTTGTTTGGTAGAAGTCATCGTTAGAGCCCCTTGCACCCAGATAATGGCTTCTCCATTCTAGCTGTTCAAAACTTAATCCAGCACAGGCGCCAAGGCCAGCTGGCCTGGGTCTGAAAAAGCATGGGATAAATCCGGACTAGCTGAACATAGCGGACAATGAGGAATACTGAGAACTCAAGAACAATCGCAGTTGGTTTTTGATCCTACTACACGTACTGGCTTTGGGGGAGCCTAGGCAGTTTGGATGCTCACTTTACAAAACCTGGATAGAGGTGGGCGGTCCTTGGGCTTCCCACAGGTCAGGGAACCCTGATTGCTCTTCGAGCAGATGAGGGAGGGGGACTTGGTTGGGGGAGGGGGAGGGAAATGGGAGGCGGTTGTGGGGAGGAGGCAGAAATCCTTAATAAATAAATAAATTTTAAAAAAAAAAAGCAGCCTGACAGCTCAGTGTGGGGTTCCTCACTTCAGCAGGGAGCCAGGTCTTTGAGTGGCATCCCCTGGTCACTGAAGGTTGTTTACCTACGTCCTAGGCTCTTCTAGTAAAGGTATTAAAAGTTAATAGTGTCCCAGGCAGTCATGACTGTCCAAAATGTCTCTATTTGCTCCCAATGCTTCCATTGTCTAAACCTCCCCCACTGAGACACCATAGTCTAATGGCTTTTGCTCTTTCTCAAAGTCACTTGTCGCCACAGCAAGGGTTTCTAGATTGCCAGCTAAATCTTTCCTAGTAGAAGCAGTATTTCTTTGGGGATCAGAAAGATTCCCAAGTGTTTATCTCACTTCCCCACTCCACTCTGTACTTCTATATCCATCTAATACAAAGATAGAAATGAAAAGGGTTTTTTTGGCAAAAACCCTTACCAAACTTTAAATTTTGTTCACGTTCTGATCATCTTTAGAATATAGATAAACCCCGCAGTCATCAACTCCAGGTGGAATGGTGTGTTTGTGACTTTCTGCCTTCTCATTGCAGGGTCACAACATCTTCGCTAATTTGTCCTCCAAGGAATACAGTGACCTCATGCAGCTTCTGAAGCAGTCGATACTAGCCACCGACCTCACGCTGTACTTTGAGTAGGTATTGGAACTTGGTCTATTTGACAGATGGATACTAACACTCCATCTTTAATTAACATCTGGGTCCATACTAAATGTTGCATTAAATTATTCCAGCTTTGCTATCTGTCCTTCCCTTAGCTAAACTCAGCTCATTGGGACAGTTTCTGCACTCTAAAAATAATTCAGGATGCTAGTGACCAATCTGAAGTCTTCCTTATGCTGATGAGCCTTCTTTGGATCTCAGGACTCTGAAGCCAAGTGCTACCGGGGATATTTCATATGCTGCCTGCGACAGCTATTTCCAGTATTATTTGTTTCTGTAATGGTGCTGATGGTGCTGATGAACTATGTTCACGGATGGAAGCGTGATTAGACACTTAAGCCTGTGTTCCTTACCCTTCTCCCTGGTTTGTGCTTTGAACAGCAATCTGTCCTCTGTTCTGCCAGTGGTCACCAAAGGCTGTGGTCTTTTCTAGCTTTCCTGACGTAAAAGGCTTGCCGATGTCTTGTGCCAGGTCCTACTCTTCGCTTCCCCAACACCCAGGTGTATTTCTCCTTTTCCAGATCTGCTGTAAATTCCAGTCCTTCCCTCTTTGAGTTCGGTAACTCATGTTCTGTTCTCTCTACTGAGATTGTCTTCCTGACCTCTCGTCTGTGTTACCCTGCTGTAGGTTAGCTGCAGGGAGGGGGTCTGAAATGCTTCATTCTAACTCCCAGCATTGTGGACACTTATCCCTGCCTTCCAGCCATTAAGGAAACCTTAAACTTAGCTTGACAGGCAAAATCCTTCCTCATTGCCCCCTCTCTATTTTCCATTCTTTTTTTTAAAAAAAAAATGTTTATTATTTAATTATATGTATATATGGATATATATATATATATATATGGGGGGTTCATGAAAGTAAGTGTTGTACCCCTGGAGACCAGAAGCGCAGCTGTGGGTCACTAGATATAGGTGCTGGAAACCTAACTCTGGTCTTCTGCATGAACAACAGTCTTAACCACTGAGCCATTTCTCTAACCCTACTTTTCCCTTGCACTATTATCTTTCGGTTCTCCCCTATAGCACCTGTCTGCCTTGACCATACCTGACTACATATTATCCTTTGAAACAATGCCATGTCCCTTATACCACAATCACAGCATATCATCGTTCCTACGTAGAATCCCATCCCCACGCCTGCTCCACCCTCTGTCTGAACTGACTCATCCTTTTGAGTCCTACTGGACCTTCACACTTCATTAGTTATAATTAGGTTCAGTGGTAGGAAATAGAAAACCCAAAGCAGCAGTTCTCCGCTGCATACAAGAAGTACAGAGACCCACCCACTGAGACAGTGGGGCTGATCTATTGGGAGCTCACCAAGGCCAGCTGGACTGTGACTGAAAAAGCATGGGATAAAACCGGACTCTCTGAACATGGCGAACAATGAGGGCTGATGAGAAGCCAAGGACAATGGCACAGGGTTTTGATCCTACTTCATGTTCTGGCTTTGTGGGAGCCTAGCCAGTTTGGATGTTCACCTTCCTAGACCTGGATGGAGGGGGGAGGACCTTGGACTTTCCACAGGGCAGAGAACCCTGACTGCTCTTTGGACTGGAGAGGGAGGGGGAGAGGAGTGGGGGGAGGGGGAGAAGGGTGGGAGGAGGGGGAGGGAAATGGGAGGCTGGGAGGAGGTGGAAACTTTTTTTTTCTTTTTCTCAATAAAAAATTAAAAAAAAAAAGAAGCACAGAGACCCACAACCTGCTGCTGGTGTGGTGGCCAATGAAGTCCTCACGGACCAGGTCTCTTCTCTCTTCCTATGACGTCAGCTTCTACCTGTTAGTCAGGAACAATTGCTCAAGTCCCAGTGCGGCTGCTCACCTTCAGGTCAACAAGAAGATGGGATAAAGGAGGAGGCCAGCGGTAGATCAGGCCGTCTTCCAAGGCGCTCTGGAAGCTGCCACTTGCTACTTCCGCCTACATTTCACTAGTCAGAATTTGGTTTCGTGGCTACATCTAGCATCGGAGAGTGTAGGGAAGGAAGACCTTGCTCTGAATAACCTTGGTATCTAGTGACAGTGGAGAGGGCAAGAAGGGAAACTAGTGCAGACAATGGGCTGTCCACGCCTCAGGCATTTATTACTGGATTATTGCACGGGACAGTGGACAGAGTAAAGGCTGTGTGAGTATTAGTGGCCGGGATTTATATTTCCTTCTGTCATCTCCATTAAGTCTGGTGACGTGAAAGTTCACTCTCCCTTCTCCTTGCGATTTTCATGATATGTCATGTCTCTAAAGGGTCAAATAGAAAAGGAAAGGGCACACCACAACTGACAAGAGTAGCCTATGGAGGTGGCTGAGTGAGGTGGTAGATGACCCAGCTGGGTAGCCATAAGGGGCAGGGCTCTCAGAGGAAGAGGGCACTGAAGAGCGGCCACTCAGCAGCGCTTTGGTGAAGCTTCATGCCCAAAGCGCCATGAAAGGTGGACGTGGCACTCAAATCTTTTCTTTTTTTGCTTTACATTTTTTTCATTTTGTAAACCAACCCCAGTTCTCCCTCCCTTCTCCTGCCTCCCTCGCCTCCCCTCACCCCAACCCCATCCATTCTTCAGAGGTGGTAAGGCCACCCATGGGGAATCAACAAAGTCTGGAATATGCAGCTGAGGCAGGACCAAGACCCTCTCTGCTGCATCAAGGGGAGCGGAAACTATCGCGCCCTAGGCCAGGGAGGAAGCAATATATCTCTTGAAACATCTACGTGGTTAGGCCGTGTCTTGGCACCTTGTGTCTTGGCACCTTGTGATCAGGTCATTCTGAGAACTGTATCACAGCTGTCTGTGCAGCAAGCTGTTTTGGCAGCAAGCTGTTTTTGCAGAGAGGATGAGGAAGATTGGCCAATACTTTAGGTCGGGGGGCTTCTTGGTCCCCAACAGTATCCCTCCATAGGGAATGGGCTCCAAAAAGCCAGTTCATGTACCCAGGATAAGTCCTGGTCCCACTGCCAGGGGCCCTCCCAACAGATCAAGCCATGTAACTGTCACCACATTCAGAGGGCCCAGTTCAGTCCCATGCAGGTTCCCCAGCTCTCAGTCCAGAGGCCGTGAGCTCCCACTAGCTCTGTTCAGCTGTCTCTGTGGGTTTCCCCATCATGGTCTTGATCTCCCTTGCTCTTACGAACCCTCCTCCCTCTCCTCAGCTGAACTCCAGGAGCTCAGCCCAGTGCCTGGCTGGAGGCACTCAAATCTTAGACAAGGAGATTGCCCGCTACTCAGTTTACAGAGCACTGAGAAGCCCTCCCCCACTGGGAGCCAGCTTGTGTGTCTCTCCGGGAAAAGCCCAAGAAATGAAAATGGGGGTTCTGCCCTGGGGAGGACAAGCAGGTCTCAAACAGGGGTTCAATGAGATGAACCAAGACTCTGGATTTTCTCAAATGAAAGTCCAGAACCCAATCACTCTGAAGTTTTTAGGGGGTCTATAAACCACATGCCAAAGCTGTCAACTTCAAAGTCATAATAAACAACTGGGGTGGGTGGGTGTGTGTGTGTGTGTGTGTTTAACCCATTAAATTTTGGAAATACACTTAGATGGGATTTTTTTAAATCAAAAACTCAAATTTAACCAGACTTTCTTTTATAGTGAACCTCCCTCCTTCTCTTCCTCCCTCCCTCCTTCCCTCCCTCCCTCCCTCCCTCCCTCCCTCCCTCTCTCTGTCCTTAATTAGTCTTTTGATTCCTGACTGGGACACACAAACAGTTAACCAAAGATCAGAGAGGCTTTATTACCTCTAATGAAAAACAGACACCAAAACAGAAAAGGAAAAGAAAAAGCACCACAGAGAAAACCCAGTTGTTCATCCATTAAACAATAGTAGGCTCCTTTAAGGAATAGCAGGAGGAGGCATGACGAAGAAAGCGCTTGAAAATGGAAGTGTGATGGTTACAAGAAAAAACCAAAGCTTCGGGGGGATCAGTCAAAAGACTAAGGGCAACAAGGCGCGCCTTTCTCGCAGGCCTTTTGGAGCTCTTAGATTTGCTAACCACACACCTGTTCTCCATCTCACAAATACAGAGGTTTCCATAAAGGACCGGCGAGATGGTTGGCAGGTAGAAAATGTAGGGGAGACTGCGGTTTCCTTTCTGCCCTCCCAGACCCGAATAATCACACAGAAGCCATATTAGTCACAGCACTGTTCGACCAATGACTCGGGCATATTTCTATTAATCTGTGTATGGCCAGGAGGCTGTGGCTTACAGGGAAGGTCCTTCTTCTTCTGCAGCTACAGTTACATGCTGTCTCCCAGATGCCGCCCACTCTCTCTCTCTATCTCTGTTTGCATTTCCCACCTGGCTTTACTCTGCTAAGCCACTGGCCCGAACAGCTTTATTCATCAACCAATAAAAGCAACATATATACAGAAGGACATTCCACGCCAAGAAAATAGTGGCTGCTCTAACTGACTACCCGGGTTTGATCTCCAGAATCTGCATGCTAAAAGAGAGAACAACTTCTTCAGGTTGTCCTCCGACCTCCACACATGGACCATGGCAAATGTATGCACACACACGCGCGCACACACACACACACACAATAAATGTAAAAGAAATTTTAAAGAATCTTATATACTGTGCTGTCCACCTTGTTATTTGAGACACAGTTTCTTATTGGCTTGAACTTACCAAGTAAGCTAGACTGGCAGGCCAGCAAGCCCCGAGCCCCTCTCTCTTTAGCTTCAGCACAGCAAGTGAGCCTCATCACACCTAGCTTCATAGCGTGGGGCCTGGGACCTGAACTCAGGTTCCCATGTTTATGTGATGCATACTTTATTATCTCTCCAGCCCAAAAATACTGATATTGTTAAAATAAAAAATGTGTATTTTAGAAGCCCCAGGCTCTGTTGCTAGCTAGCTATGTGTCATCAAACATGATACTTCCCTCTGAGATGCCTTCCTTCATGTATAGAGTGGCAATAACGTACTGTGCATATATTAAACATCTTATGAGTGGTGACGATGGCCTCATTGCTTTACAATC